TAAAAAATAGATTTTTTATTTAACAATTAATAAAATTAACATTTTAAAATAAAAAAAATAAAACTAACATTTTTTTTACTTGCATCTTTTCTCCAAGGAGCCTTAACATCTTATTTAGGGATGGCAATTTCTTTCGATCACCGCAAGGCTCCGTGAGGATCCCCGTCATGGGAACGGGACGGGGAGGAATATTCCTCCCTGCAGGACGGGGATGGGGAGCATTTTCTCCCTGTGAAATTTTGCGGGGAATTTTTTCTGCCCTGCAAGGCCTCATGGGGATCCCCGCCCTCGAAAAAATTAAAACAAATATAAATTAATTTTATTTTAAATTTAATTTACCTTTCAAACTCAAACTCAAATTCAAACCCAATTCAATCAAAATTAAACTTAACCCAATTTTACCCAACCCAATCCACCGCTACATACATTTAATCCTAACCCTAATTCATTTCTCAATTTTCATTTTTACCTTTCCTGACTTTCCCTCTCCTTCTATTGTGCGACTCTACCATCTGAATGCCCTCCATTCCATTGCCACCCTTTTATGATTCTACCCTTACCCTTCCCAGTGCTTACCTTTTGCCGCCCTTTATTTTCTCCTTTGCACCGGCCGGACCATTTCAAATCCCATTCCCTCCACTGCACTATTGGTCTGCTGCTGCCAAACTGCTAAAGCCATCTACTTGCTATTGCCAAACCGTCGAAGCCATCTACTTGCTGCTATCTAGACTATCAAAGCCATATGTAGTTATGTTGCGGTCTTGCCCTTCTTGGTACTGATTTTCTTTATTTTCAAAATACTGGTTTTTTTTTTATGTTGGTTTAATTATTTTATTTATATTGGATTAATTTTTACTTATGTTTTAGTTTAGCTTGGATTAATCTCTGTTTATGTTTGGAATAAATTTATTAATTGTTGGTTTAGTTATTTATGTTGAATTAATTTTTATTTATACTTGGACAATTTATATTTGACTTTATATTTAAAAATTTTAGTTAATTGTATTTAAATTTTTAGAACTTTATTTATTATAAGTGAATATTAATTAATTAT